GTTTGGCACTGTCCGATGATTGAGAAGATGTTGGTCCTTGGAAGGGGAAGGTGGCTCAGGTGGCATTATTCTTTTTCTGTCAGATCGGTGTGAAGGATGGATTTTCTAATGCCCAGTCGATTTCTGAACCATATGAACATGGTTCTGGCACTTTTCGATGACAATCAAAAATTTATTTTGCTTGATAGGAAAGGTGGCCCAGGTGGCATTTTTCTTTTTGTCACATCGGTGTGAAGGATGGATTTTCTTCTCCCGATTCGATTTATGAACCATATGAACGTGGTTTTGGCACTGTCCGATGATTGAGAAAATGTTGGTCCTTGGCATTTTTCTTTTTCTGTTAGATCGGTGTGAAGCATGGATTTCCTTCTCCCGATTCGATATCTGAACCATATGAACGTGGTTTTGGCACTGTTTGATGATTCACGAAACCTTGGTCCCTGAAAGGGGAAGGTGGCCCAGGTGGCATTTTTCTTTTTCTGTCAGATCGGTGTGAAGGATGGATTTTCTTCTCCCGATTCGATTTCTGAACCATATGAACGTGGTTTTGGCACTGTCCGATGATTGAGAAAATGTTGGTCCTTGGCATTTTTCTTTTTCTGTTAGATCGGTGTGAAGGATGGATTTCCTTCTCCCGATTCGATATCTGAACCATATGAACGTGGTTTGCCATTGTTTGATGATTCACGAAACCTTGGTCCCTGAAATGGGAAGGTGGCCCAGGTGGAATTTTTCTTTTTCTGTCACATCGGTGTGAAGGATGGATTTTCTTCTCTCGATTCGATTTCTGAACCATATGAACGTGGTTTTGGAACTGTCCGATGATTTACGAATCGTTGGTCTCTCGGATAAAAAGGTGTCTCGGGTGGCAATTTTCTTTTTCTGTCAGATCGGTGTGTAGGATGACTTTTCTTATCCCGATTTGATGTCTGAACTATGTGAATGTGGTTTTGGCACTGTCCGATGATTGAGAAAATGTTGGTCCTTGGAAGGGGAAGGTGGCTCAGGTGGCATTTTTCTTTTTCTGTCAGATCGGTGTGAAGGATGGATTTTCTTCTCCCGATTCGATTTCTGTACCATATGAACGTGGTTTTGGCACTTTCCGATGACGATCGAAAAATGTATTTTGCGTGATGGGAAAGGTGGCTCAGGTGGCATTTCTCTTTTTCTGTTAGATCGGTGTGAAGGATGGATTTCCTTCTCCCCATTTGATTTCTGAACTAGGTGAACGTGGATTTGGCACTGTCCGATGATTGAGAAAATGTTGGTCCTTGGAAGGGGAAGGTGGCTCAGGTGGCATTTTTCTTTTTCTGTCATATCGGTGTGAAGGATGGATTTTCTTCTCCCGATTCGATTTCTGTACCATATGAACGTGGTTTTGGCACTTTCCGATGACGATCGAAAAATGTATTTTGCGTGATGGGAAAGGTGTTTCAGGTGGCATTTCTCTTTTTCTGTTAGATCGGTGTGAAGGATGGATTTCCTTCTCCCCATTTGATTTCTGAACTAGGTGAACGTGGATTTGGCACTGTCCGATGATTGAGAAAATGTTGGTCCTTGGAAGGGGAAGGTGGCTCAGGTGGCATTTTTCTTTTTCTGTCATATCGGTGTGAAGGATGGATTTTCTTCTCCCGATTCGATTTCTGTACCATATGAACGTGGTTTTGGCACTTTCCGATGACGATCGAAAAATGTATTTTGCGTGATGGGAAAGGTGTTTCAGGTGGCATTTCTCTTTTTCTGTTAGATCGGTGTGAAGGATGGATTTCCTTCTCCCCATTTGATTTCTGAACTAGGTGAACGTGGATTTGGCACTGTCCGATGATTGAGAAAATGTTGGTCCTTGGAAGGGGAAGGTGGCTCAGGTGGCATTTTTCTTTTTCTGTCAGATCGGTGTGAAGGATGGATTTTCTTCTCCCGATTCGATTTCTGTACCATATGAACGTGGTTTTGGCACTTTCCGATGACGATCGAAAAATGTATTTTGCGTGATGGGAAAGGTGTTTCAGGTGGCATTTCTCTTTTTCTGTTAGATCGGTGTGAAGGATGGATTTCCTTCTCCCCATTTGATTTCTGAACTAGGTGAACGTGGATTTGGCACTGTCCGATGATTGAGAAAATGTTGGTCCTTGGAAGGGGAAGGTGGCTCAGGTGGCATTTTTCTTTTTCTGTCATATCGGTGTGAAGGATGGATTTTCTTCTCCCGATTCGATTTCTGTACCATATGAACGTGGTTTTGGCACTTTCCGATGACGGGCGGAAAATGTCGGTTGCTTGATGGGAAAAGTGGCTCTGGTGGCATTTCTTTTTTCTGTCTGATCGATATGTAGGATTGTTTTTCTTTGATGCATTCGATTTCTGGGCGTGGTTTTGGCACCGTTCAGTGATTGAGGAAAATTTTGTTATATGTCGGGATGGGTTGCTCAGGCGGTAATTTTCTTTTTCGGTTCGATCGTTAGGTAATATGCTTTTTATTCTTCCGATTTGATTTCTGAGCTATGCGAACGTGGTTTTTGCACTGTCCGGTGATGGACGAAAAATATGTGTTTCCTGATGGGAAATGTGATCAAGGTGGCGTTTTCTGTTTTCTTTTGCACTGGTGTGGTGGATACTTTTTCTTAGCCCTATTGGTATTCTGAGCCATTTGAACGTGGTTTTGTCTGTCCGATCATTCACTAACAGTTGGTCCCTGGAAGGTCGCCAAGGGTTCATTTTTCTTCCTGTGTCATATATGTGTGGTTCATGCTCTTTGGTGGGACGACCGGACGTGGTCATTAATAAGCTCGCACTTTTTCAATCCCCGCTTCCATATCATCACTCACATTGACAAGCACTTGTTTCTCTGTTGCTGGCGCTTTGGTTATTTATTTCCTGTGTCCTAATTTTCTGCTGTCATTGCTTGTATTTTCAGATATTCCGCCCTCTTGTCGTACTCCTGTTTCCTGCAAATTCGGACTGAACTGTTGTAGTTCATCGTGGTCTTTGTCAGTAGTTGTCAAATCACTTGAATGCTCCAGTAATTGTGGAGAATTGGGGTCATTTTCTAGGTGACTGGAATGACCAGTAAATCTAGTTCATTGTTTGAATTATCTGGAACAACAGATCCATTACCTTAATTTTCAGAAACTGGTTCAAAATCTTTCCCTTCTTTCACAAAAGCTTCCATAAAATCTTTGGAACTCGCCGCATCCTTTGCTCGTTTCGCTGCCAGTTTTCTAAATTGGGCGCCACTTAGTTTATTTCGCTTCATTTTTGACCATATGGGCGCCTGGGCGGCAAATAGCAAAGCACCCAAATTGATGAACATATAACGCAAACTTGCTGATGAACGCAAATTCTTGAACGATTGAATGACTCATTCCCTGAACGTTATAAATTTTCCGGGATTTCGTCACCTTGGTGTGCACTGCTGCAAGCTGTGAGCCTGTGGCGTAAAGCGATACTATAGTACTGGATGTATCGATTTTCAACCCCGCCTTTTTCACAGAGGGGTTAGGATTCGTGTTGGAACTTGACTGAGTAAAGTGACTCGTGACTGCCGTCTCCCAGCATATGTCGCTAACAGAGTGGTTTAGACGTTTAATATCACTCATAACTCGCTCGCAAAGGAAGTGAATATAGCCCCAGCACTACTAACCGAGCTACCAGCATGCGTCATACCGGATATATATCAATAGTAAAATTGTATTTTTTCATTACCCCAGAAATGCCATTTGCCTCAGTTTTGCCGCCCTCTGGACTGTGACGCCCGGGGCGACCGCCCCACTTACCCCCCACCCCAGTTACGCCACTGATGACATGAACATTGAAGTTCCTTATTCCCGAAAATTCGCACTGCATTAAAATAAAAAAAAGTGTTTTTCCCTATTCTCCCACAATCGTACATATTTAATGCATATTTTGGCATTTTTAAGCGCATATGTATGTCATATTTTAGGACTTAAAGAATAATGATCCGCTCCCAAATGGTGAAAGTATCTCTTGAGTCCCCCCCCCCCCACTTCTTCCCTCCATGGTACGTTTATGACCAAGAGTGATGGAAAGTCGAGAAAGCGGAAGGTGGAAAGTGGTGAAAGTGGACTTTCATCTGTCGCAGAACTCACGGCCGCCGAAGGTGACGCACGCAGGTGACGTGGGCTGGAGGACTCACTGCAGCAGAAAACGAAGCCCCCTCGCTGCGTCACTGGTAGGCCTTGATATGGCATTGTTCCTGTGGCGTATTTTACGGGGAGGCAGCCCTTGAAAGAGCCTAGCGTCGCTCCCTCCCTGCTTCTATGTAGTCGGTGACCGGCGCCTATCTCATGAAAAGGGAATCCTTTCTTCTACGACACCGACTAGGAAGTGGTCTAAGGGAAATATACGGCTGCTCTCAACAGAAGCATGGCCAACCCACGTCATAGCGGACAGCGGACGAAGGGAATGTCAAGTCCCAAGTTCTCCACATAGGCAGTCGACGTTCTGGCAACACTGGTCAGCTGATCCTCACATGAAGCACACATGCATCCACATAAACCCGTGGCGCGCTATGGTATCTACGCCATTCCCTGTAGGTGCGTCCTTACTAACGGTTGGGGGCCACCTCTATGACCATTTAAGCCAAGGTCCAGGGGTGATGACATTTTGTTTGGTGTTTGCCGTGGTATGTTCAAGGTGCTCAAGAATATGCTGAACATAAGTTCTTCCGCCCAGCCAATGGTCTAGAAAGGCCTGGTTTTACAGGCCTTTCTAAAGTAACGCCTAAAGTAGTAAGAGCCACCCGCGTATGCTTTTGTCAATTCTGGGACATCCTGTATGAAAAGCCAGCACAGGGGTTATATACTTCTCGGATTGAATTTGTAACCCCACCCTTAGGAGCGCTTCCATCGATTGCTCTAATTGGCAGTTCATGTTCACTGAGGTATATGTACATGGAATTGGATTCCTCGCCTGGTAACAGAAGGCCTTGCCCTGGAGTTCTGCTAAGGCACTGGAAATACAAGACTCAAGGTGCCATTTTCAACATGGAAGGTTGCCCTCCTGTCTTGTCCAGGCTTATTATAGGAACCTGACCAGGTCCTTCAAAATGTTAGAAAGGTGACAGTCTCTTCCAAGAGCTCAATGGTAGCTTAATGTTCTTTTTTTCATTGGTCAAAGGCTCTCCAAATGGAAAGTGCTTGATCACAGCATTAGAGTGTGCAGTGGTGTAGGCGGGAAATCGGCAAAGGGGGGGGGGGGGTTGAGGCCAGGTAGACACCCCAACCCTACGCCTAGCTTCACTACCTGGAATTTATCTTTTCAAAGAAATCATGGTCTGGCATTTTGGGTGTGCGGACGGACCCCAGACTTTCCTCAAAGGTGCATAGCTAAAATTGGAATTCGCAAGGAAGGTTGAAATTGCCTGTCAATGTCACTGACTGAGAAGTCCAAGGGGGGAGGGGGGTTCTAACCCCCTAAACCTCCCCCTTCCCTACGTCACTGAGAGTGTGAGCATCTCTACAGAATTATTTCACTTGTGAATGTTGGGTTTTATCATAAATTATAATGATTTGGACCCAAGACAGACTGCAAACTTGATGGAGAGTTGAGAAGGCTACCTATAACAGGCTTGGACTCTGGTCATTGAACCCTCTTAGTCAAATGTCAGTAATTCGAATTGCCAACATTTCCTACTTCTAATACCCTTTCTTACTTCCTGTGAACCATCATAAACCAACTATAAAATTATGCTAAAGTAATATGCTGTTCAGGTAATGTATTGCCTTGAATGCAGTATATAGGTAGCATGATTCTGACTAGACCTTTATAACAAGGCAGCCTGCCCAGTTACACTTCCAGCCTTTCCATTGATACTTAGTTATAAATTGTAGCTGCTAAGATGTAAACCATACTGATCTTGAAATGAACAGTTCTTTCCCATGGCTAATCAACTGACAGCAATTGATATACTGTATGACTGCTGAGAGAAGCACACTTATCGAGAGGCAGTTTAAATATGCTGGATCAGGTGGTTGAGCATATGTATCTGTATAATCTTTCAAGCAAGTCATGAGTGCCAGTGAGGCCTGAGACAGCAAGACTCTTTTATGAACATTTGTCTATTGCAGCCAAAGGCAAAAAAGTCCAATTTTTTCAGAAATGAGACTGTGGGGCATGAAATGAATAGAAGGGATTTCCTGTTTTCTTATGTCAAAAGTAATGAGACCCCAAAAATCAGGATTTCCTTTCACCCTCTGGTCTCATGTTTCCAGCAATTTCCACCAAAGACAAATGTCTATAGGGAAAACTGGATAGAGCCATGAGGGTAGGTTTCCTTCCTTTTTTTGTTAATTGCATGTGTCTGTGATGTCCCCCAAAGAGGCCCACCTGGTTAAAGAAATTTATTGACTTGAACCCTGGGTAGGAATAACGTGTATCATACTGGTATCAATATACTTAAGCAGCTTACCTGTAGCTGTAGCATGCTGCTGATTTACTGCCTTGAACCTCTTGCTTAGGAGAATGGAAGACTGAACATTATAAAGAACGTTATGAAGAACATTATAAAGAACGTTTATGAAGAACTAGTACATGAATGTTTGAGCTATCTGCTCATTTCAATGTCTGTGCCACAGGTAACCTCGACACGTGATATCGAAATGGGCAAAATCGCCTCTTGATATCACTAACTCTCCTGACTCCTGAACTAAAGACCATCCAAGACTGAAATTGCAATAATCATTGGACATTGAAGTGATGTGAAGATGACAGGTGATCAAGAAGTGCAGGACTGCATAAAGGAATACAAGAAGGAGAAAGAAGTTAGTTTTGTAGCCATCTCTAGTGACTCCTTAATGGTATCCTTGCTCACCAGGTTAGGCTTATTTTAATACTCTCCTGTGTTCATACAGATTATTTTTAGTGTCAATGTCTTATAGTCACAAATTGTCAGATTTATGCAGCACCCACCTAATTTTGGGGGGAATGGAGGTGTGAAATGGGGAACATCAATCAAATAGGCTACCTCGGAAAGGTAGGGTATCAATCCCTTTTTGGAAGGGATGGAGGTCAGTGGGTGCATTACATTTTTATACTTTTTGGGAGCAAATTGTTGGGAGAAAGGTCCCACCATCACCGATTTCCTTCCTGTCTTCCTTTCCCTCCTCACTAATCATGTAGTATGGCCTTTCTATCCTAGAACCACCTGACATGTTAGCATGTTCATTTGCTTGCTTATCCCTTTCCTAACCAATGACTTGAGAAAACACAATATAGTCATCAGTAAAAGTCTTCCCAGGTGTGAACTGAAATAAATTGGTTCAGGCCACTTGAGCGAATTTTTGAGCATGCCTGTTATTTAAGCCTGAATGTAAAACAGTTTCTTTGAGCCAAGAGCTTTTTATTATTGCTAGTCAAAGTAATGTTCAGTCATTCAGTATCAATGATGTTAAGACATCCACGTAGAGAAATAAGTGTGTATCAACATTGGGTACAAGAGCATTTTGATTTTTGCTGCTATTATTATGCATAAAAGTGTGTGGTTGGTATTAGCTCACTGCCTCCTTAATATCAGTATTGGTGGTGGGGAAAGGTTCAAGAATGTTTTCAAAGGTCCAAGGTTTGTTCTCTGTTCATGGTGAGCAGAACATCTCTATAGAGTGTTTTATCCACCAAATGAAGTAAAACTCTTAATTACTCTAATCATCTGTATTTTAAAGTATTTTGAGCATGACAGGGGGGAATGAGGTAATGAAATATGCTGGTTATGGGTGAGAAATGCAATGCCTTTAAAAAAAAAGGTTCACACTAGCTTTTTTAAATCTTGAGTCCTTGCACCTAACTTCAGCTCAGTGGGAACATGTTCAGGTGGTTGTCATTGAGTCCCACGGACTTGTATGTAATGCAAATATGAATCAGGAACTCGCTATAGCAAGTTAATGTGAACCCTGCCTTACAAAGACTTATGAAAGAAAATCCTGTAGGAAAGCATTTGCTGACATAAATATTAAAACTATAGATGCAATTGTATTGAATTCCAGTTGATATCCAATATAAAATATTGAAGAAAAAAACTGAAACCAAATTTGTTATCCACACATTCAAGCCAATTGAATCAATTTCAATAAAGATATTTAAAAAATCATGTGAATCTTGTTTATTGCAGTCATAGATTGATGGGATTCTTAAAAATGAAAGAAATTCCCCAAAATAAAAAAAAAATTAAAAAAAATGGCTATGTTCCTGAAAATATGCATAAATATCGCAGAACATGAAATTATAACCCTCTGATAAGAGAATGTCATTAAGGGGCAATGGAGGTACACATGCATCGCTATTGAAAGCTTTGTGTAAGAAATATTGTATGAATACCAAAACACCAGCATCTTTTGAATGATTAGCAGAGAAATAAAAAGATGCATACTTTTGCTCGTGAAAGCTTGAGATTCATATGAATGTATGTTGTGAAGATATGTTTTATGCATGCTGAATCCATGTTCTTCAATATGGTTTTAAATATGGGAAAAGCAACAGCTATTAACTTTAATTAATTAACTTTATTAGTCAAACTAAAAATTCCTCAAGTTGTGGTTGAGAAGCAATAGGATGTTCCTTCCCTCTATACCACCTCCCACTTTGATAACTGTACAGAAGGCCTGGTAATCTCTCTTTTGAGGTGTTTGAGGAATGATTAGTCAAATGTCTATGACTGAGTTTGGACAGCATTTTATGTTGAATCGCTTGTGTTTTTCACCTAATAGGTGAAAAAACACCAGTAAATGGTCAACATAAAATCATGGTCACCTGTAAGGTGACCATGAGCTGTTCAGAGCTGGATATACTGTATATTGTATTAGGTCAATATATCAGATTCAACTGCTGTTTGGAAATACTGATAATGGATGAAATGTCTATTGTGTCTCTAATTAAAACATGAGGCATAATAAATTAACTGAACTGGAAAAACATAATTATCATTCTGCCATGAATGCAAAACATTAGGTTTAATATTCATCCATATCAGAATATAATTAAATTAACTATGTTAAAAATAACTTGAAGAATATATTGGGCTGAAATGTCATATTGAGACCAAGATAAGTTTGATGCTTGCCCCTGTGGTAAATAATAGGCTTCAAGTTTTAACTTCCTTGCTTTTTGTCCTAGGGAAGTAGTTAATTGCTTAACTCAACTGGAAGAAAAAGGGGGATCGATATACCTCGTATAATGACCCAAGGTTCTGATAGGGATAGGGAACGGGACTTCTCATAAAAAATTGCAAATATTTTGGAACTTCCGAAGGCATAGAGCATGCAATGTCAATTTTCTTTCCTCTTAATTCTCTTGCGCAAGAGTTAAGCACAACAAATGTATTATGGAGCGTGAGTTCATTGATACTTCCCTATCTCTCGTTTTAACAGAGTCGGCAATGAAATGTTATCTAGCAACCCTGAAAGCTAAAAGATTCCAGAAGCGTAGGAGCGTGAAGCCTATTTTCTAAGTCAAAATGCCTGTCGAAGTTCTTTGATGCGTGTTCATGTACTATCTTTGCTGTGAACCTTTACCTAATTTTCTCTATTCAGCCGTAGTTTAGCCATTGGCCATTTTCTTGGCCTAGGTGTCTGCTTCAGCGAATTTAACATTCTAGGGTTCCAGGGATGTACTGTGAGGGAGCTTCGGATCCTGCTTCAGCAGTCCAGTCACAGCTTTATTGGCACTCGATGCATCAAATGTGCTTACGTCTTGGCATTGATTACAGTTCGTAGTGAGACTGAGCCAAAGTCAGACATATCGCACGTTAACCCTTGGATCACACGTGATAAGCTTGGTGGTTTTATTTTTTTTCACTCCCAAGAAAATGTGTCAAAAGAATTTATATTGCTACCCATTCTTGTATCTTCGCGTATATAAAAAAGTTGCCTAATTTAGTCAAACTATCCTCATTTCATGCCAAGTGCCATACCTGTAAGTATGGACATTCTTTGGAATTAGCCGTTTGATGATCACTTGTCTTTCCAATGCCAAAGGACACAGAAGCTGAAGCTGATCATGTCAAAGTGATTGGTAGAGCTGAGCTCAGGATCAATTGCCATTACAAATTGGCCTAGGATAATATGCAAGCATTAAAAGTGAGAACAATGGATATTGTCTGGTCATTTGGAAGGACCAGGCATGTCATGAAGCAAANCATTAAAAGTGAGAACAATGGATATTGTCTGGTCATTTGGAAGGACCAGGCATGTCATGAAGCAAAATTGGAATCTTATGCCTTGGCACTAAATCCCCTAAGAGTGCTATAGGTCATTTGTTAGTGACTAGCAATACCATTAGTGAATGGTGGTGATTAGCTTTGATTATTTTTGGCCTATTCCATTAAAGTATCTGTTGCCCCAGATAGCCTAATTAATCCCCATATCTTGCTGGCTCCTATGCCTTTTCCCAAAGCAAATGGTTGTAGGTATAGATATAGGTAATTTCAGGTAAACATGCATTGCTAGTCCATATTCTGAGAAAATAGTATGATAGTTTCATTCAGTTTGGTGTATGCTTTGGATGCAGTGGATACATTCCCTGATAATTCCCTGATTCTTGCACTTCTAGCAAATATTTCTTTAAGAGGAAGTACTTTACTTTTAAATAAAAATAAGCACCCTTAGTTCCAGTACCAAAATTTTAACTCTTCAGTATTTTTCAGTGATTGGTAGTTTCACATGGGAGAAATTATAAGCATAGACCTCTCCAAATATTAGGTCACTTATGATGGGAATTCTCATGAAAATATCTTAAAATCATGCTTATTTTATTCCCGTGTATGCATTCCAACAAAAAGCCTAATATTTCAGGTGTTTTAAAATTGGAGTATCCAAGTTCAAGAGTCTCTGTAGTTCAATTCACTGCATCAATCATGTAGCTTTACATGATCTTCTTTCAGTTTTGAGGAGTCACATGCAGGATAAGCTTCTCCCTGCATGTCCACGAACTTTGTTGAAGACTCCTCACAAGGCAAATATCCACCAGTTAGGTGAGGGGAAACTTTGTCATATTGGGATCCTTCCTTGGATTCAACAAAACCTCAGCTGTTACCTTCCAGATACTCTGACTCTTGTCCTTCAAGTAAACATTGATGGTCTACCTTTATTCAAGAGCTCTCAAAAGGAGTTCTGGCCAATCCTAGGGAGGCTTCCTGATTTTTCACAATCTCACCCTTTCCCTGTTTCTTTCTACTGTGGCAGTGAAAAACCACCAGTACAGCAAGTATGGCAAGTGATCTTGCATGAAATAATTTGTATTTTATCCACTCCAAAGCATGCCTCTAACCCACACTGTTGAGACTTATTCCTTAACTCGGATTTCATTATCATTATTCATACTAGGGGAGAAGGCAGCTGGTTTATCAAGAAGTCCATGGAGTGGAGAATATGCATCCAAGCAAGTTTCTTTAGGTGAATTCAACACTTTCTTGCCAGATGCTCTCACTCTCAAATGAGCTGTTTTGTCAGAAGTTTAGTTTTATCACCAATATATTACTTTTCTCACTTTTGTGTCTTCAGGGTATGTATCTCCTTCATGATGCCTTATTCTACACCTGGAGCTTCAGCTGCTAATGGTGGTAGTGCAGAAAAATCAAGGCAACAAAATATCTCCCAGCCATCTTCCTCATCTCCTATGGAACCAATCAAGCAGTCCCAAGATATTCCAGGTGAGGTATTGAGACATTTTTTTATTGTTACAGTTGTTTCCATGAATGATTTAGAATATATTTGGTTTCATGTGTATGGTTCAATCACAAATTTTAAGGGAGAGATGGCATTAGTGAGGGTATAGCAGAGATTATG